TTGAATCCAGTGCTCTGAACTCGGTCTGCTGCCCGCTCTCGAATCGCGAAACTAGTCGTATTCTTCGAGTCATCTTGAGAGGTGCTGTCGGTTTTCTGTACTTAACTCGGGTTGTTGGGCACTACAGTGCTGGTAGTCACAGGAATCGATTCGGATACACCAGGCGCGTCCACCTGTCGAATCCTGAGCTCGGAACTCGGTCTGCTGCCCGAACTAGGTCCGGCAAACTATTCGTATTGTTCGAGTCATCCTAAGATGCTGTCGGTTTTCTGCACCTAACTCGGGCTGTAGGGTGGCTGCAGGGCTGGTAATCACAGGAATCGATTCGGAGACATCAGACGCGTCCGCCTGTCGCATTCAGAGGCCTGAACTTGGTCTGATACTCGAGCTAGGTTTGCCCAACTATTCGTATTGTTCGAGTCATCGTCAGTGTTGCTGTCGATTTACGCACGTAACTCGGGCTCTAGGAGAGCTACAGAGCTCGTACAGAAGACAATCCAGAAGCATCGGGGGCGTTCGGCTGTTGCATCGAGAGGTCTGAAATCGCTTGGGCTGAAAAACTATTCGTTCTCTGCATTTTTTGTTCGACATTATATATCGTCAGGAAGCTCTGCGAGTCCCCCGGCGGTAAGAAAGGTTGACGGCTTACCGCCGGCGCCCAGTTGTTGCTGGAAGCTTAAGAGTAATTCCGGGGCGCTGGAGAGCTAGTTGGCAAGAAAAATCTCGACGGACCTTTCGGTGACTTTTGGTCGGTTGAAAATTTTGTTCTCGAAATTCAACCATTCGTTAGAGCCCTAGTATTTTTCCCCGTGATATTCGATATTACTCCCGCTCGCCATCTTGATCTCAGCTCGATCGGGTACCTTTTACTGCCAAAAAGCACTGCGGCGGGATCGGCCGTTTCGAGTCATATTGATACGCGCTGTCGGTATATTGGACTTAACTCGAGATATAGGACAGCTACAGAGCTGGTAAGCACACCTCATCGATTCAGAATGATCAGGCGCGTTCGTCTGATGCATCCAGAGGTCTGAACTCGGTCTGCTAGCCGAGCTAGGTCCGCAAACCTATTCGTATTATTCGAGTCATCTTGACAGGCGCTCTCGGTTTTCTGTATTTAATTCGAGCTAAAGGACAGCTACAGAGCTGATACTCACAGAAATCGTTCCGGAGTCATCAGTCGCGTTTGTCTGTTGAATTCAGTGCCTGAACTCGGTCTGCTGCCCGATCCAGAATCGCGAAACAATTCGTACTGTTCGAGTCATCTTGAGAGGTGCTGTCGGTGTTCTGCACTTAACTCGGGTTGTAGGGGGGGCTACAGTGCTGGTGGTGACAGCAATCGATTTGAAGACATCAGGCGCGTCCGCCTGTGGAATCCAGAGCTCGGAACTCGGTTTGCTGCCCGAACTAGGTCCGCAAAACTGTTCGTATTGTTCGAGTCATGCTGGGTTTGCAGGGCTGGTAATCACAGGAATCGATTCGGAGACGTCAGACGCGTCCGCCTGCGCATTCAGAGGTCGGAACTCGGCCTGATACTCGAGCTGGGTTTGCCAAACTGTTCGTTTTGCTCGAGTCATCTTGAGAGGTGTTGTCGATTAGCGCACGTAACTCTGGGCTGTAGCAGAGCTACAGAGCTCGTGCAGAAGACAATCCTGAAGCATCGGGGGGCGTTCGGCTGTTGCATCGAGAGGTCTGAAATCGCTTGGGCTGAAAAACTAGTAGTTCTCTGCAATTTTTTTCGACATTATATGTTGTCAGGAAGCTCTACGAGTCCCCCGGCGGTAAGAAAGGTTGACGGTTTACCGCCGGCGCCCAGTTGGCAAGAAAAATCTCGACGGATTTTTTGATGACTTTTGGTCGGTTGAAAATTTTGTTCTCGAAATTCAACCATTCGGTAGAGCTCTAGTATTTTTTCCCGTGATATTCGATCTTACTCCCGCTCGCCATCTTGATCTCAGCTCGATCGGGTACCTTCTACTGCCAAAAAGCACACGGGCGGGATCAGCCGTTTCGAGTCATCTTGATACGCGTTGTCGGTATTTTCTACTTAACTCGAGCTGTAGGGCAGCTACAGATCTCAAAGTCACAGAAATCGATTGAGAATTATCAGACGCGTTCGTCTGCTGAATCCAGAGCTCCCAACTCGGCCTGCTGCCCGAGCTAGGTTCGCGAAACTATTCGTATTATACGAGTCATCTTGTGAGTGCTGTCAGTTTTCTTTACTTAACTCAGGCTTTGGAAGGCGACAGGGCTGGTAATCACACGAATTGATTTGGGGACATGAGGCCCAGCCGCCTGTCGAATCCAGAGCTCGTAACTCGGCCTGCTGCCCGAGCGAGCTCGCAAAACTATTCGTATTGTTCGAGTCATCTTGAGCGGTGCTGTCGGTTTTCTGCACTGAACTCGGGCTGCAGGGTGGCTGCAGGGCTGGTAATCACAGGAATCGATACGGAGACATCAGGCGCGTCCGCCTGTCGCATTCACTCTGTCTGATACTCGAGCTAGGTTCGCGAAGCTATTCGTATTGTTCGAGTCATCTGGAGAGGTGCTGTCGATTATCGCACGTAGCTCGGGCTGTAGCAGAGCTACAGAACTCGCACGCACAGAAAACGATCCAGAAGCATCAGGGGCTTCGGCTGTTCCATCGAGAGGTCTGAAATCGCTTGGCCTGAAACACTTCTTGTTCTCTGCATTTGTTGGTCGACATTTTATATGGTCAGGAAGCTCTACGAGTCCCCCGGCGGTAAGAAAGGTTGACGGTTTACCGCCGGCGCCCAGTTATTTGAAAGCTATTTGACCATTCATTTTGAGAAATCAGATTTTTCGCACCTGTAGACGAATGTGAGGGCCTCTGCGTCTTAATATGAGCTCTGTAGGCGCACATTTACTATCAAAACACTTGGGGGAACCAACTTCATGTCGACATGAAAATATGCCATGCCCCCATGAGAATGGATGGAGGGAGTGCGCGGGATTTCGGTTGGCCGCACGGCTCCGTAGCTGCTTGGCTCGAGCACATTTTGGTTCTACTTTGTTGCGCGCCACCCTGGGGCGCGCATCCCAGCCTTTTCATTTCCTCAGCGCCCCTGCAGGGGCTTCATCGGCAGCCGGAGGGGCACATGGCCTTCCGGCGACCAGCCGCGGCTCCAGCTGCGGCTGCTCGGCGCCCGGCCGCAGCTCCAGCCCCCCGCAGAGGCGGCGAGGGCGGGGGTCGGCAGCGGCGCCGCTCGCGAACCCCGGCGCCCGCGGCGGCTCCACCCCCGCCAGAGGGCGGAGGAGGAGGGGGCCGCCGTCGCGACGGCCGCGCCTGCGAGCCGGTGCGGATCCCAGCGTGGGGGATCACTCGCGCCAGCGATGCAGGCGACCTCAGCCGCGTGGGTGCCCACGACATCGTGGAGGTCGAGGCTTTCAAGGGCCGCCCACCGAGGACGGGCGGGGCAGCCCTGGGGAACCTCGCGTTCTGCTTGGTCCCACCGGGGACGGGCGCGGAGGACTGCCCAGAGCCCAACGACCAGGGCTTCTTCAGGCAGGCGTACTTCCTGGGGTCCGAGAACAAGGACATCGACGGCAAGGTCGAGGAGGAGTTCGCCGGGCTCCACGGCATCAACTCCGACAATGGGGCGGTGCTCCATTTCTGCGCAGGCGGCCATGCGGCCAGCTGCGACGAGAGGTGGGGCCGCCACAAGGTCTACCACGTGCGCAGGTGGAGGTCGAGGCTCGAGACGCACTCCGACCACGTCTACTTCGACATGCCCGAGGCCCTCGGGCTCCCAGACGCGGGTGGCACGGCCACCCCGCGGGGCGATTGCAGAGAGGCTGGGCGCCCGACGCCGCTGCCCCCTCCTTTGGAGCCCCCGCCGGAAGACGGCCGAGGCGGCGCCGCAGGAAGGAAGAGTGCCCACGGGGCGCCCCTCTTCGAGGACGAACGGCCGGCCTCCATGGGTCGCGGCCGCGCCGATGACGACGGCGACGACCGCTACGAGCGGCGGGCGCCAGAGCTCCGGCGCAGGCTGGAGGCCGCGAAGCGTCGTCTCGCCGGCGAGGAGCGCGGGCCGGCGGCTGGGGCGGAAGGCCACGAGGGTCGCCCCCAGAAGCGCTTGCGAGTGTCGTTCGTGGACGGGCTCTACCAGCGTGCGGCGGATCGCCACTCCTCCGGGGTGGACGCGGTGCGGCCGTGCACGGAGGAGGATAGCAGCCTGGAGACCTTGCTCCGCCGTGCCGCGCGGCGCGGCCATGAGGACGAGGACGAGGATTTTCCCTTTGCCCCCCCCAGAGCGCAGGACCTGGCCGGGTTCGCGCGCCGTCATCCGGGTGCTCTTCTCGAGCGTGCTCTGCAGGAGATGCAGAGGTACCTCGCACCTCTGGGGGGGGCGGCCGGCGCCAGCGGCGAGGTCGGGAAGATCCAGCAGTACTTGGTGGGCGTATTTCACCAGCGGTACACTCCGGAGGCGACCGGGCTCCGGACATGCCGGGAGCTCCGCACGATCGCGGCGTGCCTCGATGGGCTCATGGACGGCAACCTCCCGCGCGTGGCCGACGTGCTCATTCAACGTTTCAAGGCGCTGGAGTGTTCAGTGGCCGACGGCAACTGGACCATCGCCCGGCACCTGGAGTTGATCCCAAACGCCGACGTGGGCCTGTCGAGCGACCGGGAGCGGGCTGCGGCGACGCGGGCCGAGCTCGACAGGATCAAGCTCCAGGATGCGGCTTCGAGAACCCGCAGCCGCACTCCCAGCTAGGGGCTCGGCGGCGCCGCGGGGCCAGCTCCAGCCCCGGGCGCGCGCCTGGCTCCCTGGGAGGGGAGCCCCGGAGCTGCGCGGGCAGCGCCGGAGGGAGCGAATCGGGCCATAGGGCCCCAAGGCGGCAACCGCCAGACGGTGCGCCGCCGCGCGCGCCGCGCCTTCGGGAGGGGCAGCGGCAGAGGTCGCGGAGCCCGCCCTGGCCGCGGTCCGCTCCGTGGCGGTCACGGCAGCGATCGCAATCGCTTCAGCGGGAGCGAGATGGGCGAGGGCATCGACGCCGGGGGCGGCGCGGCGAGCCCAGCAGAGCGCCGCCCTCTGCAGCCGGGGCGGGCCCACCTGGCCTCCCGCGACGAGGTGGATCGGCGGTCCCGGGAGCGTGCGTCACCGGCCCCCGTCACTCCAGGCAGCCAGGGGGTGGTTGGGTCAGCGGGCCCCCCTCACCAGGCTCGGAGTCGGTCTCGACAGGAGGACCGATCGGGATCAGCGACCTCGAGTGCGATTCCGCGGCGTCCTCATCCGTCCGTGGACCTCCGGCCAGCGGCCGGTGCCGCCCCGTGGAGGGGGCGCCCCTGAAAGGGAGGCAGGCTCTGCAGCGTGTCGCGGCCGGCGGCATGTGCGCAGGGCAGATCGGCGCGGCCATCCTCGCGGCCCTGGCTGCGCGCGACTCGCCCCTCGGTGATTGCGTGAGGCGCCACCTCGCGGGCCAGCCAGGGCAGGGTGGGAAGCGGCAGCGGGATGTCCTTCCGCTCCCTGTCCCGAGGGGCGAGGCCGCAGTCGAGGCAGCGCTTGAGCGGCTTCTGCGCGCCGGCGGTGTCAAGGAGGGCAGGCAGGGGCGCCCCGAGAGGGGGCGGTTGGTCGCGATCGGAGCTTGGCAGATACTTTGCATCGTCGCCCTGAACTGGATGTACAGCGCTGGTGGGAGGATCTGCGGGCTCGACTGGTGCGGGCATAGACCCACGGTCGCTCAGCTCGCGTCCCTCGCCCACATTCGGGCCCAGTGCGAGGCCTTGGTGGACCGGGTCGACGAGGAGACCGGCAGGGCATGCACCTCGCCCACGGTCGACTTTGTCTCCATGCTGGCCCGGAAGCGGCTGAGCTACGGAGGCGACGAGGTCTCCCTCCCCGAGCCGCTCACTCTGGCGGAGCTTCTCCCCGGGCTCCCTGCTCGCGGTGAGGCCGCCTCGGTCGACCCCCTCGCCATCGCGAGTGCGGAGGTCAGGGAGGCGCTGCTTCACCCTGAGCGCGTGTGCGACCCAGACGGGATCTGCACCGCGCAGGCGGCGGCCAAGGTCCACGCCACCCCGCGCGAGTGGGCCTCCATCGTCGCGGAGCTCTTGGACCGCGGTGTTTGAGGATATCCCCTACGACAGCATCGCGTGGGTCGGCGGCCAGCCCCTCCTCAACGGGGCGTTCGGGGTGGAGAAGGCGGGCGTCCCGATCCCGCCCGCCACTCGGGTGCTCCGGCTGATCATTAACATGGTCCCGAGCAACCGCGTGCAGAGGGCAATCGACGGCGACATCGGGTTGCTCCCCGTGGGCGGGGAGCACCACGTGACGCTCCTCGCGGATGGGGAGACGCTCCTGTGGAGCAGCGACGACATCAAGGGCTGCTTCCACGTGTTTCGCCTTCCGTCATGCTGGCGGCCTTGGATGGCCCTCTCGGCGCCCGTCGACCCCCTCACGCTCGGGCGGGCCAAGGGCCCCATGATTTGGGTGGCGGTTGCAGTCGTTCCGATGGGGTGGCTCTCTGCCGTGGGCATCGTCCAACACTTGTCCAGGCAGATCGTCCTGGGCGGCGCGCCGGGACATAGGTCCCCCGCCGCCTCGGCCGAGCTCCGTCGCGGCGCAGCTTACCCTCTCCAGCTTCACCGCCTCCCCCGGGCGTGGTGGAAGGTCTACGTGGACAACGTGGAGTTTGGGGAGGTTGTCAGCGAGGCCGCCGCCCGTGACCTCGTGGGCCAGGTTTCGGTCGAGCAGTTGGCGGTCCGCGCTGCCCTCGATCGCTGGGGCATCCGGCGAAATGAGACTAAAGTCGTCGAGCGTTCGCCGATGGCCGTCAGCATGGGGTCTGGCGTTGATGGGCGTCTCGGTCGGGTCGCCCCCGCACTCCCCAAATTGCTGCTGCACCTAGCCCTCGCATGCTGGGTGCTGTCGCGGGCGGATTGCGGCCCCCTCTGGGTGGCAGCGGCGGCCGGCAGGTGGTGTTTCGATTTCGGCCACCGGCGTGCCGCGTTCGGCACCCTCGACGCGATCTGGAAGGAGATCGCCTCCTGGAAGGGCCGCCGGCCGGTCTCCAGGCGCGGGGGTGGCGAGTTGTACATGGCCTGCGCCGTGGCTCCGCTCGTCTACACCGACCTCCGGGCCAAGCTGTTCCCTTGGCCGCTCGCCACAGACGCTTCCGAGTCTGGCGGTGGCACGTGCGTTGCCTGTGGCCTCACGGAGGCAGGGTGGGCTGCTGCGGCGTCGGCCGCTGGCCCCCTGTCCTCCCTGGCCCCCGCCGGGCTCATCGCGTTCGAGTTCTTCGGAGGCGCTGGGGGCTGGCGGCAAGCCCACGACCGCATTGGCGCCGCAGTGGTCCTCCGCGTCATCTGCGAGAAGGATCCGGCGGCGCGCGCTGTCTCTCGCCGGGCCTGGCCTGGCGGGATCGAGTGGCCCGACATCACCAAGGTCACCCGCGAGATGGTCGCTGCTGTCCGGCGCGCGGCCCCTGGGGCGACTGGTATTTCGGTTTCGTGGAGCTTGCCCTTCCAGGATTTGTCCGAGCACCGATCGGCATTGCTGTGGGAGATTCCCAGGGTGGCGCGGCTGCTGGAGCTCGAATTCGGCAGTCTCCCTTGGGTCGACGTCGTCGAGAACGTCGCCAGCATGACGGCCGAGTCGTGCACGCTGGTCTCCGAAGGGCTCGGCCGGCACCCTGTCCTCATCGATGCTGCGGGGATTTCGCGAGCTCGCCGCCCCAGGCTCTTCTGGTGCAGCTTCCCCGTTGGCGACGGGTGCGGGCGGCGCGCCTCGCCGCTCTTCGACGTCATCGAGCTCGAGGCGGAGGTGGAGCCCGCGGAGATTTGGATGCTCCCTGATGGCTGCTGGGATTTGGGGTCGTCTGCGAGGCTCCCGGCATTCACCCGGGCCGTCCACAGATTGGCGCCGCCCCCGGCCCCCGCGGGCCTGCGAGAGTGCAAGGCCCACGAGAGCGCGCGGTGGGCGGCGGACGAGTACCGTTTCTCCCCGTTCACCTACCGGGACGCCTGCACGTTGGCGTCGGCGGAGGGCGGCCGGCGCGTGCTGCAGGCGCCGGAGAGGGAAGTGCTCTTGGGGTTCTGGCCCGGGCACACAGAGCCCGCTCGGCCGAGCTCAGCGCGCTCCGACGACACCGCGAGGTGCGCCCTCCTTGGGGGCAGTCTTCACGTGGGCGTCGTCGCGTGGCTCCTCGGGCAGGGCCTTCAGGCGGCGGGCCTCATCGAAGCCCCGCCCACGGCCCCCGAGATCCAGCGAGCCTTCTGCAAGGAACTCGCTGCTCGAGCCCTCGGCGAAAGGCCTCGGACGGTGCTCCCCCTCTTAAGGGGCCGAGTCGCCGTGGCCCCGTGCGAGGGCTTGGAGGCCCCCGGGGCCAGCGGGCGGGCCTCCGCAGGCGCCCAGGGCGATAGGGTAGAACATGAGGACGAAATTACCCTATCGCCCCCCGCTTCCGCCGGGGCCTCCGCGAACGAGCTGTCGGCAGCGAGGGCAATTGTTTATGGCCTCCTGCGACATGCCGATCACCGCGGCTCGGACGTTCGGCTAGACATAGGTCTGCCGTTCCGGGCCAAGGTGTGGCCTCGAGCCCCAATTGCCTCAGACCGATGGGCGTGGCAGACGGTGCTCGCCCATGGCTGGAAGAGGCAAGGGCGGCACATCAACGAATTGGAGTTGCAGGAAGTGTTGGCGGCACTGAAATGGTTCGCTCGGAGGGCGGATCGCCACCACTCGCGCCTCGGCATTCTCATCGACTCCCAGGTGGTCCTCTCGGTGTGCGCGAAGGGGAGGTCCTCGTTGCGAAGGCTGAACCACCTGGTGCAGCGCATAGACGCACAGATTCTCGCATGTAACCTCTACCCCTTCTACGGCTACGTGACCAGCAAGATGAACCCTGCGGATGCCCCCTCGCGACAGCGCGAGCGTGGGCGTCCGCCAGACCCCTCCGAGGAGGTTTGCGCAGCGCCCCCAGGTCGGCCTTCCGAGGCCCCGGGTATGCTCGCTGTCCGACACGGGCGGCTGAGCGACCTGCCGGTGGCGCGCTCCAGACCAGTCGGCGGGGCAATGCAGGTCTGCTGATGGCGCCAAAAATGATTCTAGCTAGCCGTAGAAGGGAGGCAAGGGCCAGCGCCCGTTTGGCACTCGGCCGCTTGGAGGATCAGGTTGTTAAGCCGGCCACCCTCCGACGCTACCGGGCGCAGGTGGAAGCTTTCCGTGCCTGGCAGAGGTCAGAACAGGAGCCCCCTGACGATCCCGATGACACTGATCAGAGTGTAATGGAGTACCTCGAAAAGCTTTGGGCCGAAGGCGAGCCTAAAAGCTACGCCAACGATTTGGTGGCAGGGCTCCAGCACTTTGCCCCGCGCCTCCGCCGAAGGCTCAACGGAAGCTGGAGGCTGTTGGGCGCGTGGGCTAAAGCTGAGCTCCCGGCTCGAGCCTCCCCCATGCCGCGTGCCGTCGCCATAGGGCTGACTGGCTACGTTGCGGCAATGCATAACTTTGCCGTGGGGGTCGTGTGGCTCGTCGGATTTCATTGTTTTCTCAGGTCAGGGGAGATGTTCGGCATCCGCGCGCGCGACGTTTCGTTCGCGCGGGACGGCAGTTCAGCCGTCATCAACCTGGGCCTCACCAAGACTGGGAAGCGCCAAGGTGCTTCGGAGAGCGTCACGGTCTCGGACGCTGTGGTCCTCGCAGCCCTCCGAAACTTGGTGGAGAAGCGGAGGCCTGGCGAGCTGCTGGCCCCCCTCTCGGGACCAGGCCAGCGAGCGCTATTCAAGAAGGCTTGCGAAGAGCTGGGCCTCCGCGACCACGAATTTAGCCTCTACAGCTTCCGGCGGGGTGGCGCCACCCACGATTTCGGGTACCACGGCCTCCTCGACCGGACAATCGTGCGAGGGCGGTGGTCAAACGGGCGCACCGCCAGGATTTACATCACAGAAGGGCTCGCGATGCTGGGCGATCAGCGCCTCTCGCCGGAGTCCCGTGACGCCTTGAAAACGGCCGCCAAGTTTTGGCGTCCAGAGCTGGGGGCTGTGGAAGGCCAGCGCTAGGGTGTGGGCCTTTTTTTTTCTGGGCCTGCGTCGGAGGCCCCCGCCCTGAGGGCTGGGTTGGGCCTTCGCCGCCCTATTCCGGCGCATGGCTTCCTTGGCACTTTGTCTGCCGCTGGCCATTCGAAAAAAGAGCGCACGGGCACGACATCCATATGCCATGCCCCCATGAGAATGGATGGAGGGAGTGCGCGGGATTTCGGTTGGCCGCACGGCTCCGTAGCTGCTTGGCTCGCCCACCCACACTCCGAACCCTGCTCGCTTGGTCTGAGACTCCGTCTGGACCATCGGGAAGGCCAGCGCTAGGGTGTGGGCCTTTTTTTTCTGGGCCTGCGTCGGAGGCCCCCGCCCTGAGGGCTGGGTTGGGCCTTCGCCGCCCTATTCCGGCGCATGGCTTCCTTGGCACTTTGTCTGCCGCTGGCCATTCGAAAAAAGAGCGCACGGGCGCGACGTCCAAAATAATGTTCATTTTTTTTGAAAAATGCCTCGAGAAGCTCTCTCTTTCGACTCTGAGCACTCTTACGCATGGGAGGAGCTCTACGAGGTTCCCGGCGGTGACCAGGTTGACGGTTCACCGCCGGTGCCAGTTGGTCGACCCGACCAGAACGGACAAACTGATAACTTTTGGGTGATTTTGCGAAAAATTGAAAGATATTTGACCATTCATTTTGAGAAAGCAGATTTTCACGCGTAGCATTTGTATCTAAACTTCATCCTCAGAGCAGCTCAGCTCTCTGGAGAGAGTTTTACCGACATCGGAACCGACTTGTATCCGAAAATGAGCGGGAACCGACATCGGAGTGACATCGAAAAAAGGAAAGTTTTTTTTTTTTTTTTTTTTTTTTTTTTTTTTTTTTTTTTTTCGAGAACGGCCGCGAGAAGCTGTCTGCTTCGATTCTCAGCACTTTCGTGCCTATAAGGAGCTCTACGAGGTTCCCGGCGGTGACTAGGTTGACGGTTCACCGCCGGCGCCATTGGCCGACCCGGCCAGAAAGGACAAAGTGGTAACTTTTGGGTGGTTTTGCAAATATTTGAAAGATATTTGACCATTTATTTTGAGAAAGCAGATTTTTCGCACCTGTAAACGACTATGAGAGTCTCTGCGTCTTAATATGAGCTCGTTAGGCGCACTTTGACTACCAAAACACTTGGAGCAACCATCTTCGTGCCGAGATGAAAAAAATGAATGTTCAATTTTTCGTGAAGTGCCTCCAGAAGCTCTCACTTTCGACTCTCAGCACTTTCACGCGTGAAAGGAGCTCTACGAGGTTCCCGGCGGTGACCAGGTTGACGGTTCACCGCCGGCGCCAGTAAACCGATTCAGTATCAGCCGGCGCATTCTTTCATACCTCGTGGAGCTCTTCGGCATCGATGAGCTAGAGGAATTCCGGCGCGGGGTGGAGCTAGTTGGACCACCCAGCCCCGGCGGACAAAGTGTTAACTTTTGGTCGGTTTTGTTAAGATTTGAGAGATATTTGACCATTTATTTTAATAAGAAACTACATTTTTCGCAACTGTAGTGGGTTATGCCGCGTCTGCCAGTCAAATTTTCAGGTCCGTAGGTGCAGTATTACTATCAAAACACTTGGAGGAACCGACTTTGCATGAAAACCGAAAAATCTCGATTTTTTGGGCTCTTGCTGCAGAAGCTTCCTTTATGTGTTCGGAGGAGTGCTGTACAAGAAAAGAGCTCTACGAGGTGCCGGCGGTGACCTGGTTGACGGTTTACCGCCGGTTCCCATATCGAGATGTCTGAACTCGGTCTGGCACTCGAGCTGGGCCCAAAAACCGAAGATGCAATATTAAGAAACATTTTTTTTCAAGCTTTTTTCTTCTCGCTTCAGAAAGCATACCTCGTGGAGCTCTTCGTCATCGATGAGCTAGAGGAATCCCGGCGCGGGGTGGAGCTAGTTGGCCAACCCGGCCGGGGCGGACAAATTTGTGACTTTTGGTCGGTTTGCGAAAATTTCAAAGATATTCAGCAGATTTTTGCGCGTTGCATTGGCATGTAAACTCCTCTCTGACAGCAGCTCAGCTCTCCCGATGTTTTTTTCTCATGAGTTGACTTCCGGGAACTGAGCGAATGTGAACATCGAAAAAATTAGAATAAAGATTTTCGAAAAATCTCTATTTTTAAAACTATACTTCGATTCTCAGCACTCTTACCGGTCTGAGGAGCTCTACGAGTAGGTTGACGGTTAACCGCCGGCGCCAGTTTTCGCGTGCTCTGAGCGCCGTGCGATAACAGAGCTGTACGAGGCTCCCGGTGGTTACCTGGTTGAGGGTTAACCGCGAGCTCCCACTTGCTGGAAGCTAAAGAGTAATTCCGTGGCACTGGAGAGCTAGTTGGCAAGAACAATCTCAACAGATCTTTTGCTGACTTTTGGTCCGTTGAAAATTTTATTCTCGAAATTCAACCATTTGTTGAGCTCTAGTATGTTTTCGGTGATATTCGATCTTATTCCCGCTCGCCGTCTTGATCTCAGCAATGCATACGGGCGGGATCGTTCGGGTCATCTTGATATGCGTTGTCAAGTTTTTGTACTTAACTCGAGCTCTCAGGCGCGTTCGTCTGTTGCATCTAGAGTTCTGAACCCGGGCTGCTGCCTAAGCTAGGTCCGCGAAACTATTCGTATTGTCCGAGTCATCTTGAGAGGTGCTGTCGGTTTTCCGTACTTAACTCGGGCTGTAGGGGGGTACAGGGCTGGTAACTGCAGAACCGATTCGGAGACATCCGGCGCGTGCGCCTGTTGCATGCAGAGGACTGAAATCGATCTGCTACTCGAGCTAGGTCCGCAAAACTGTTCGTATCGCTCGGGTGATCTCGACAGGGACTGTCGGTTTTCTGTAGTTAACTCGAGTTCAAGGGAAGCTACAGAGCTGATACGCAGAGAAGCCGATGCAAAATGTTCAGGCGCGTACGTCTGTTCCATCCAGAGATCCAGAGGTCTGAACTCGGTCTGCTACTCGAGCTAGGTCCGCAAAACGATTTGTATCGTTCGAGTCATCTTGAGAGGTGCTGTCCGTTTACGCACGTAAGTCGGGCTGTAGGAGAGCTACAGAGCTGATACGCAAAGAAACTGCTCCGGAATCATCAGGCCCGTTCGTCTGTTGCATCCAGAGGTCTTAACTGGGTCTGCTATTCGGGCTAGGTCCGCAAAGCTATTCGATTCATCTTGACAGATGTTGTTCATTTTCTGTATTGAATTCGGGCTGCAGGAGAGCTACAGAGCTCTTACGCACAGACACTGATGCAGAAGCGTTGTCAGCGTTTGTCTGTTGCATCGAGAGGTCTGGTCTCGGTCTGCTACCCGAGCTAGGTTCACAAAACTATTCGTATTCGACCGACAATTTTTTTCCAAATGATGGTGAACTCGAGCTGCAGAGCAGCTCGAGAGCTCTGCGGCCAAAAAATCAGAATGACATCATGAGGCGCGAAGCATCTAGACGCTTGGTTTGGGTCTGTTGTGAGCGCAGACGCCAAACACGGATTCGTACTCTGCTATTTTCTCTCTAATGGTATTTCTTCACGCTGCAGATGAGCTATAGAACTGTTCAACATGGACATAAGATATGGTCAGGAAGCTCTACGGGTCCCCCGGCGGTACGAAAGGTTCACGGTTTACCGCCGGCGCCCAGTGGTGACTTTTGGTCGGTTGAAAATTTTATTTTCGAAATTCAATCATTCGGTAGAGCTCTCGTTTTTTTTCCCGTGATATTCGATCTTATTCCCGCTCGCCGTCTTGATCTCAGCTCGATCGGGTACCTTTTACTGTCAAAAAGCGCACGGGCGGGATCGGAGGTTTCGAGTTATGTTGACACGCGGTGACGGTTTTCTGAACATAACTCGAGCTATAAGAGAGCTACAGAGCTGATGCTTACAGACCGATTCAAAATCATCAGGCGCGTTTGTCTGTTGAATCCGTAGGTCTGAAATCGGTCTGCTGCTCGAGCTAGGTCCGCGAAGCTATTCGTATTGTTCGAGTGATCTTAAGAGGTGCTGTCGGTTTTCTGTATTTAACT